CGCTGCCTCCACCTCCGCCGCGAACTTTCCTTCAACTTCTCTGCAAAGAGGAACCTGCCGCTCCGCCGCCCCCTGGACGCCGCTAGCCGCCCTTGGACGCCGCGAGCCGCACTTGAACTCGGCGGCGCTGCCTCCCACCTGGCGCCGCCCGGAGCGCGGCGAGGAGGCTGCGGGGCGCCCCCTGGTCCCCCCAGAAAGAGCGTGAACCAGGGTCCGCCCGCCGCGCTGCGCCCCGGCGCCTGGGGTCTCCTTTGGGGAGCGGGGAGCAGAGCCGGGGGAAGACCCGGAGGATGACTGCGCGGCCCGTGGCGACACCAGCGCAGTAATGCCAACATGTAAGTCTCCCCGTGGTCTCAGATTCCGTCACACCTTTACCTGTGCGCCCCCCTCCCCCGCCCCCCTCCCCCAAGTGATTTGGTGAGGACTTCCACTGTATGGACCAAATAAACCGGTTTGTCTTCAGTGTGCCCCCAGGCCCTGAGGCATGAGCTGTGACATGTGTGAGTGTGTGTGTGTGTGTGTGTGTGTGTGTGTGGCTTGCTTTTTTTCCAGGGAGAGGTAAACCTCATATTTGGGCGGCGTAAAGCATAATAAAAAAGGGCAGGGCTTCAAGAATGGGGAAAGCGTGTTTTCGATTCAAATTGAACAAGGAGTAACAGGCCGGGCGCCTGCGTCCAGGGGCCTTGCTCTGCCAAGAAGGCGCTCTCCTGGATCAACACCTGGGGCTTGGAAGGTACCGGTATGCTGAGAAAATGTTGACTTTACACATTGTCACCCTGGACTGGAGGAGTTATTCTTGGATCTTTGGGTTATTCAAATGGTTTTTAAAAAGCGGGCAGAAAAGGTTCTGGGTTGTACTTGGTAGATTTAAAAAGTCATTAAGGAATATGCCATTTATGTGATGGGCTCTGCGGAGGGACTTGTATAGAATTAGAAGTGTGGGGGAGGGTATAGGGCAAAGAGAAGGTTATAATAATAGGTTTTGTTTCTATGGAATTATCATCTAAGTGGTGAGGTGCCTCAGAGCAACCCTGCAGAAGGGCCACCGCGCACCGCCTGGCCTTCCAGAGAGGAAAAAAAAAAAGGAAGGTTGTTCTCAAAAGAGCCAGGCTTATTTTTGTGGCCAACTCAGAAGTTACTTTTTCTTGTAATATGTAATTTTACCCCTGGTGTTTTATTTAACCTCGGGCAGACACCCTGATAGACTTTTTCTCCCTCCCACTGACTAAGATACAGGAGTTTCTAGAAATTGATAGTCACCCTACCTCCCCCAACTACTGGATCCTTGTTTATTTCCATTTAAATTCCCTCTTTCATTTACTACCTGCAAAAAGACATACCCGCTCAGGCCCTGTCTTTCCCTTCCTTGCACCTTCACCTCCCAGTCTCCCTAGTACACATTTTTAAAATAGGAGGAAGAGCAATGACCGCAAGCCTAGTAGTCTGTAGCTCTGTTCCTGGTAGTGGCCGGTACAGTTAGAAGGGAACTACTTATTTTTATTAAAATTGCATGTGAAGTCATTCTTCACCTGTGAGCTTTAAAGTTTCATTTATGCCAGTGGAATCGTTAAGGTATAGACTGAATTTATTTTGGGATACAGCCAACAGTCTCATAGAAGAGTTGTTCTCATACAAAGGTGACGCATTTTTAATGAATGTGAGTTTGTTCTAAACCTCAGTTTTTCCTGAAAGTATACTAGGTTTTTAAACAGCAGATATTTGTCTAGCTTACTTTCAGCTCTCCTAGGTTATGTACATCTTATGGGGGGCGGGGGGGGGGGGGAAGCATGTTATACGTAAAAATAAAATATGAGTACCCAATTTTTGAAATAAAAAGATGTGAAAATGGTCACAGGTAATGGGACAAATGTCCTGATTATGAAATGAAGTTATGTAGTCCATTTGAATTTGCACATGATTAAAAAATCTTATGTCATTATAGAGTGAAAGCATGAATATTTAATCACGTAAAATATAGAATTTAGTACGTTGATTGAGTTCTTTATTGAGCTGTTTTGGCTGGAAGTTTTTCTATTTCTTGACAGATAACTGTTTCTTTTTTTCCATTTTGCTGTTTATAATTCACATGGAATGGTTTAAGATGCTCCGATTCTTTTTAGATATTAGTATGTTAGAACATATAGAAATAACACCAACCTTTCCAATGTAAATATTTCTACTGTCTTCTTGAAAAAAAGTTAAAATGAGAAACAAACTATGTTACCTTTTAAATTTTAATAGATTCAAGTATACAAGCTAATTATATTTTCTGCCTACTACTTATGGAGAAAGAATATTTATATATCATTACACTCAAGTTCTGAAATTGTGGACTTTTATAAATATATTTTGGAGTTGTAGGGACTGCATGTTTTTCATGCCCTAGGGAATTTAGTAGGTTTAACAAGACTTGCATTAATTGGTCTCAAGCTGCATGAAGCTACTGTTCCATTTATGGCTTATATAAATTACATGACATTGTGCTTTTCCAAAGTGAATGGTGAATGAGGCTATTGTCTCTTGGCTTATGGGAAATATTAGAAGCTTGTAGTTTTACTGCCTAACTGGACACGTCACTCTGATTTCTGGAAATAATGATTTGAAAGAGAATCAGTTTATATATTAAAAATAAACTTACAGATGCTTCCTTAAACCTGACCATTTTTTTAACTGCCCATATCTTCCAGAGTTTATATTTATGATGGGTTGATTAAAAGTTTCTAAATACAATTTAGATTTTAGACTAAATAGAAAAAGACTTTGTTCAATGTGTGTGGCATGCTTGGGCAAAAACTGTATCTTTCCATGTTCATTTCCAATTGGATGACTATTACATTATCTACATTGGACGCATACTGAGGAGATAGCATTTAAGGGACATTTCAGTTGTAACTGAAAATGCCAATAAACCAAGTGTGGCTACCTGAGTATTAGCCTACTTTACTTTATAGGCATTACTCAGGATGGAAGTATTCCGTTTTCTTCAAGTTTACTGTATTTAAAACATTTATAGCAAACATGACAAAGGTTTAACATGGTTAGTTTAGAATCGGTAAAAAAAATTACAAATCAGTAAGAAAACCATTTATATGTAACAGAACATTATACAAATAACTTCAACATGCCAATCCAAATAAAGGAAATTCAAATGAGACACTTCTTCTATCAAACTAGCAATGATTTACTCAATAGCAATGAATGTGTCATAAGATAAACATTGATACACTTCAGTGTAAATGCATAGGTGTGTATTTAACTGTACTTAGAAATAATTTTAAACCTACAGAAAAGTTGCAAGAATAGTACAGAGAACACCTGTATGCTTTTACACAGAATCACTTATTAAAAATATTTACATCATTTATTTTATCACTGTCCTTCCTTTCTTCTTCCCTCCACCCTGTACACACACACACACACACACACACACACACACACACACAATTTTCTTTGCAAAACATCTGAGAGTAAGTTACATACATCAGGGATTTAGGGTGACTTCTTAATTGAAAATTTTGTATTTGTAGATTCACATGCAGCTGTAAGAAATAATACTGATAGATCCTGGGTATGCTTTACCCAGTTTCTCCCAGTGGTAACATTTTGCTCTAGCATAGTGTCACAACTGCATGTACTCGTGTGTGTGTGTGTGTGTGTGTGTGTGTGTGTGTATTTCTCAAGGGTGCCTTTTAATTTCACCTATGATACAAGCCAGTTATGCATGTTACAGCTCAAGTAAGAGTCAAGATTTGTACAGATTTGAAGAATAAACCCTCCCCCCTTTTTGAAGCAGGATGATCCCAACTTAATAAACAATCTTAATAAACATCTCCCTTTTCATTCATTGCTTAGACTCAGGAACATGATCCTTAACCAGAAGAAAAAATACAATTAGAAGCAGACTTGAATAAACCAAATTTCCATTGTTTTCACTCTGGAAGAATTAAGGCATGCTCTATGCTACTCCTCACACCCCTTTATGAAAGGGTTTGCCAGGGAAATTCATTTGGGACATGGAGAATGAAGTTAATTCTAATTATTGCTGATATTAATAGACCTAGTAGCATATCAATTTCTCTACTAATTTCGGTATTTATTCGCTAATTTCTTTTTAAACTGTGATGTTTAAAGGAGCTGGTAAGAGCAAATAGATGAATGATGGTTGGTTTTTTAGATTATTTCAGCAATGAATTTGGATTAAATCATGTCCACAAAGGGTTGTACCCACCTTTAAAACAGTTCGTATGAAAGAGTTAAGTTTTCAAGCTTCCCGAGATAGGACTCAGGCATATTGTATTTTGTAGCCTTTGCAGATAGAAAAGGAGAAGCGAGTTTGCAATCGAGGTAGTTTGGTTTTCAGAATGACAGGTGAGTTGGAAGCCAGGTGACATGGGGGCAGGGAGGTCTTTTGGCTCTGTAACCACTGATTTTTTTTGGGGGGGGGGCAAGTGGTTTATCATTATATAGTTCTTTCACCTGTGAAATGATAGGTTTTATTGTGTAATTTTTAGATTCTTTTCAGATTATAAAGTCTGTGACTCTCTTCTACTGAAAAATATCCTTGCTTTCTTCAATAGAACTTGGAGGTCACAACCCAAGTGACACAGATTGTACTATGTTTTTTTGTAGTTTTTACTTAGAACCCTAGTAACCCTGTTTGGGATTTTCCATTCTTGTGAGAAAATTGTTTAAATCTCAGGGATGTGTCTTTGCTAAATGATCCCCTGAGAAGACACACAGTGTTTTCCTTCCTCTGTTCTATTCTTAATTTATTTGTTTCTGTTCTTTAGTAAACAGTAAAGTGGACGAAAGTTGGCGTGTCATATGGTTTATGTTTGGTTACAAGTACTTGCCCTGTCCTGCGTGCGTTTTCTGTGCAGCATGGTGGAGTCTTCAGAACTGGAATGCATCAAGCCCTGGGTTGTCTGACAGGGCTGCAGGCAGCTTTTGTAAAACAACTTCAGGTTTGGATATGGAATCCATAAATGTCACAACCTTTTATAGTTGAAGAAAGTTGTGTGAGCATGTGAAATAAACAGGATTGAGTGTTGCCAAGCTAATGAATGTAATTCACTGAATCCTGTTCAGAGAGCATTTGAACTGAAAAGGGACCATAAGTCACATGTCGATAGGGAATTGTCACATGGGACTGAGATTAAGAAGCTGGGCCTTCTCCTGGGTATTCTCTTGGGCGTTCCCCCTTCTGTTAATATCTGTAAGGCTGACAAGCCAAGTTTGATTGGTCTGCTCTGGGCTTCAGTTTCCTCCTCTGTGAAATGAGGAGGTTATACTTCATCTTTGGTCCTCTCAGATCAAAACATCTTTGGATATAGAATTGTGCTTTTGTCTTAGCAGCACAGTCATTCATCTTCAGCATGAATGGGAAATACCTCATTCATCCAGCATCAATGGGAAATGGACACATTCATCCAAATGAGTAAATTTTCTATGTGACAGAAGTTTATCATTTACCCTTTTTAAAGTCCTTACTAAGTGCCAAGTCATGCTATCGCTAGTTCTTTTTGGTGGATAATTGGAAGAAAAATAGGCTCAGGGTTTTGCCTCACAAACCACACAGTAAATAGAAGCTCCAAGATGTAACTCTGTGATAGTCCACAGTTCACATCCATTATTATGATGATGACTTACTCTACTAGATTGCTTCTCACAAGCAGTTGCACTGCTCTTAATTTAAAATATTTTGGGTGGATGTATTTGAGAACATACCTTTCATATAAAAAAAATCTTTAGATCTTAACCCTTCCCTAGTTTAGAATTTCCATTAGGGGCTGTATGATGCTGGTAATCCTAGTTTGGTGAATATAAAATCATGGCATGAATATGAGACAGTACTTGAAATTTTTGTATTCAGGGCCCAATGAATCATTTATTTTATTTCTGATCCCAGAAGTAGCCATGAAGTCAGTTCATTGGTGTTGGCTTATGGCATTAATCCTGTTGTCCATTCTTATTTTAAGTCTTTTCTTTTGATTTCACTGTGCAGAATGGTGGAGTCTTGGTTGACGGAATAACCACACTTATATTAGTATGCCTGGTATGATGGTTATAATAATAACTAATACTTATTGACTGCTTACTGAGCATCAGTCACTATCCTTAAAAGACATGGTCTGATTTAATCATCCAACAACTCTATGGATTAAATTCCATTGCTGTTCCTAACTTGCTGATGAAAAATAGATACAAGGTGGTCAGGTAAATTCCCCCAGGGCTACATAATTTATAAGTAACAAAGCCAGGTCCATCTGAGTCTAGGGTATGTTCCTTTTGCTACTTAGATGGTCTCTAACCAAAAAATACAGATTGAAATGCATGCTTGAGACAAGTGCAAGAATCATTTGATGTCTGTTTTTGCTTGAGCATTTATTTCTCTTTCCACTTTTCTGGTATCCTGTTTAGTATTATCTATTTTACTCCAGATGAGCCACCTTCAGGTAAAGAAAGTATCACAGTTGACCTTTGAACAGTATGGGTTGGAACTGCTTGGGTCCACTTATATGCCAGTTTTTTAAAAATAAATATATATATACAATCGGCCCTTCATATCTCTGGTTTCCCATCTGAGGATTCAACCAACTTAGATAGAAAACAGTATTTTTGATCTGAGGTTGGGAATCTGAGGGTGCATAAGGCCGACTGGATGCATTGTTCCACACCAGTTTATATAAGGAACTTGAGCATCTGTGGATTTTGGTATCATCGTTCCAGGGTCCTGGGACGAATCCTCCGAGGATACTAAGAGACAACTGTGGTTAAGATTTTGGGGAGTCATAAGTTATGCACGTATTTTTGACTGCACAGTCAGCAGCACCCCTACCCTCCTGGGTTGTCTAAGGCTCAACTGTACTGTGACCCCTAGGTTTCTTATTAGTTGCCCCTCTTTTGGAAGTAAAATGACTCTCAATTACCACTTACAATCAAAGTAACGAACTCTTTTTGGGGAGTTAAGATCTGGAGATTTCTTATTACTACTCATGTATCCTCCTGCTTTGTGACTCTCTTGTCACTAGCTCATTTAGGGTCCCCTTTGGTGACTGACTTTTATACTTGCTGCTCCTTCACTGACTTGCCTCTTTTGATGGGGTTGAGTCAATGAAAAATAACAAACCACTATTTTGAGTAAATATGGCTGTTCTTGTCTAAATCATTATTAAGTATAACTTTGAGTTTAAAGACAAGACCATTAGATATACAGAGAATTATTTGAGAGTTTTCAAAGCACCACCCCTCCATGTAATGTCATTTACTAGTTTCTGTAATACATTGATAACTAGATAAAGACATTAATTAATCTTGTTGGATGTTAATGATTCAATGCTTTGTTTTAGGGGCAATTTAATTTAATTTTAATTGTCTCCATTTGTGAAGGAGCAGATGTTATACAGTGAAAATATTTTCTTAAAGTCTGAATTTCTGGAAGATTATAGGGGATGTTGATATAATTGTCCTCTTGCCACCTCCATGGTCATGTGATGCTAAACTCTGAATCTGAAATTGCTTTATTTTTTAATATTATTTTTAAATTATATGAATATTTCCCCATGTTCATGCAGAGATCACCTATTATATATTCTCTGAAAAAGAAGGTGCCACCAGATGGCAAGTAAAATAAATGGATTTTTTTTCTTTTGCCTAATTAGCATAAAGAAGGTGATTGGTTCATCACCATTATTTAGAAGCAAGACTGAAAAAGGTTTCTATTTGGTGGTTCCTGCTGGAAACCTATACATTTACTGTTATTGTCCTAATGTTTTATTGAATTCTAAGTGTCCTGATTGTTGCTTTCTTCCATCGCAGGATGTTTCGCTCAGGTGGAATGTGGAGCTGTCCCTGGAAATGGAAGCCAAGTTCCCTTTTGTTCTTATTTGCTTTATCTATTGTCTGTGTTCCTCACTCAGGTGAGTAAGACTTTTTCTTTTTGAAGCCCCCACTTTAATAATTGTCTTCAGTTTCAGAGTACTATCTGTTTAAGTAACCTCAACTTTATTTGTTGTCTTTTTTTTTCCATTTCTATCCTTAAGGCTTTTTTTTTTCCCATTGCCTCGCATTCCTCTCTGAATTTTATGTGGATAGTATCACTTTGATCATTGTTTTATTTTCTAATGAGTATATTTCTTTAATTATCGTTGCATTTCTTTTAGCTTTATTTATTTATCTAGCTTGTGTTGAGTGATGAGATAGCTACATATCTGACATTAAAAATGTACTAGCTGTTCTTCTACTATTGAATAAATATACACTACTTAGTTTTTCTCTTTTTAAGTTTTTATATACTTATTTATAGAAAGTATAGACTTTGCTATTTTTATTTGTCCTGATTTTATTGCCATGTATGAGACAGGGATTTGAAATTAAGTTTTTAGACCATGAAGTTTATTTAGTTGAGTTAAAATGATATTAAAATGTTATTTGCAGTATTTTTGGAATTAAAATATCTAATTTTTCCAATTACCATTTTTTTTCTGAAATTTGAAGCAAGACTCTTTTAGCTGTTGTTGAAAGCTAAATTTTCCATAAACATCTAATTATATAAATGAGCCAGTCAGAACCCAAGGAATGTGAACGATGTTTTTAAAAGTAAACTGCTTCTTCATTATCTGGTTTTGTTACTGAGCAAACTACACGTCTCTTAATTCATTTTATTTTATTCATCTTTTACTGCTTTATTCAGTTTATATTTTTCTTTTGAATAAAACCATTATTCATGAAGTTTATGTACTTATTGCTTGGATTTAACCAAGATTTTATACATTCTATAATTACAATATATCTGTATGTTATTATAAATAATACATTTAATAAATCACATAAGTAGATTATTTGTTAAAATTGCTTACTTATAGATCAAGAAACTCAACTTGCATTGAATATATAACTACTGTTTTATAGTCATCAGGTATTTAAGAGTCTCAGCTGCTTGCTTGGAAAACACCTGGCACTTGTTTAATGGCTTCAAAACAAAACTTATCTTTGAGTGAATTTTTTTGCTTGTTTGTTTCAATTTCATTACAAAGTCATTCTTTCTGTATGTTTATTGCCAGAAAGAGGAAACAAACTTGTAAAGGAATCTGAAAATTACATGTATATTGGACTTTTCTGATGTACATAGTGTTAAACAATTTTTTAATTTCCAAAAGTGATATGCCAAGAACCAATTCCACGATGTAAGATAAATTAAGAAATTAAAATTAGTTGTAGTCTGTTTAGTTTCATTTGTTTTTTTTATTGTTTAAAGTATTATAAATAGTAGTACATATGTCTCTTTTTCCCCCATTGACCACCCACCCCCTGGCACATGCCCTCACCCCCCCACCCCCCGCCAGTGTCTTTGTCCATTGGTTATGCTTATATGCATACATACAAATCCTTTGGTTGATCTCTTACCCCCCATCCCAACCCTCCCCTGCCTTCCCGCTGAAATTTGACAGTCTGTTCAATGCTTCTTTGTCTCTGTATCTATTTTTGTTCATTAGTTTATGATGTTCTTTATATTCCACAAATGAGTGAGGTCATGTGATATTTATCTTTCTCTGACTGGCTTATTTCACTTAGCATAATGCTCTCCAGGTCCATCCATACTGTTGTAAATGGTAAGAATTCCTTCTTTTTTTATAGCAGCATAGTATTCCATTGTGTAGATGTACCACAGTTTACTGATCCACTTATTTGCTGATGAGCACTTAGGCTGTTTCCAAATCTTAGCTATGGTAAATTGTGCTGCTATCAACATAGGGGTGCATATATCCTTTCTGACTGGTGTTTCTGTTTTTTTGGGATCTATTCCTAGAAGTGGTATTACTGGGTCAAATGGCAGTTCCATTTTTAATTTTTTGAGGAAACGCCATACTGTATTCTACAGTGGCTGCACCAGTCTGCATTCCCACCAGCAGTGCAAGAGGGTTCTTTTTTCTCTGCATCCTCACCAGCACTTGTCGTTTGTTGATTTGTTGATAGACATTCTGACAGGTGTGAGATAGTACCTCGTTGTTGTTTTGATTTGCATCTTTCGGATGACTAGTGATTTTGAGCATGTTTTCATATGTCTTATGGCCATCTGTATGTCCTCTTTCGAAAAGTATCTATTTAGATCCTTTCCCCATTTTTTGGATTGTTTATCTTCCTTTTGTTAAGTTGTATGAGTTCCCTGTAAATTTTGGAGATTAAACCCTTATCGGAGATAACACTGGCAAATATGTTCTCCCATGCAGTGGGCTTTCTTGTTGTTTCGTTGATGGTTTCTTTTGCTGTGCAGAAGCTTTTTGTTTTGATGTAGTCCTATTTATTTATTTTCTCCTTAGTTTCCATTGCCCTAGGACAGTGATGGCGAACCTATGACACGTGTGTCAGAGGTGACATGCGAACTCATTTTTTTTGGTTGATTTTTCTTTGTTAAATGGCATTTAAATATATAAAATAAATATCAAAAATATAAGTGTTTGTTTTACTATGGTTGCAAATATCAAAAAATTTCTATATGTGACACGGCGCCAGAGTTAAGTTAGGGTTTTTCAAAATGCTGACACGCTGAGCTCAAAAGGTTCGCCATCACTGCCCTAGGAACTGTATCGGTAAAGATATTGCTACGACAAATGTCTCCTATTTTGCTGCCTATGTATTCGTCTAAGATTTTTATGGTTTCCACTCTTAATATAGCTACAATCAAAATGCGATGGAAGGTTTCAACAGTAAACTAGGAGAAGTGGAGGACCAAATTAGTTTTATTTTTGTTAGGTCATGGCATTTGTAAATTTCCAAGCCCTCTTTAAACTTTATTATTGGGATTTTTATTTTAGATGTCAACTTTTTAATTGATATATGCACATTCATTATTTTAGTCACTGGAATAAATGAAATAAAAAATATTTTAGACTAATTCAAAGGAATCAACTATGCTGAGAGAGGAGGGAGGGAAGGGAAAGCACCAAGGGTACAAAATTTAAAGAGGCATGCATTCTCAGTGTCATAGGAATCAAAGTACTTAAATATGTTTTTAATTTACTGTTTCACACAATAAACCCCCTTTAACAATTTCTTTAAGTAGCCAACACTTTATATGCACCAGGTAATAATACTTTGTGACAGATAGTTAATGTGTTTACTCATAAATCAGTATAGTTAAAAAATTGCATATTAAAGCTTTAGATAGATCTAATTTTCAAAGTCCTATCTTTAAATCAGAGTGTGCCACCACTATATTTTCAAGAACATGCAGTGCTTCACTGTGATGGTATTTCTCTATCTATCCACCCTTTGACTTTTTTTCATTTCTCTGGATGACCCTTAGGCAATTTTATTGAGTCTAGTAGCTTTAAATGGCATCTTGACGTCAGTGTCTGCTAAATCCATATCTTTAACCCTGGCCTCTTCCTGGACCCTGGAGTCACCTCTTGGGTTGCTTAACCTCATGTGCACTTGAATATATAATAGTCTTCAAACTTCACATGTGCAAACAAGATTCCTGATTCCTATCTCTTATTTGCTCCACTCTCAGTCATTACAGTCCAATCTACGATCCTGCCGTCACTATTTTCTAGACCCATTGGCCTGTCTGTTCCTTGACCATGCCTTCTGGACCCTCTTCTTCCTTATCTACACACACTTGGTTCTTTTTTGATACCTAGGTCTTAATTATTATCACCTCAGATAAGCCTTCCTGTTCCTCAATTCAAAGGAGCCCCATTATCACTACCATACTAAGCTTTAGTGAGAGTCTGCAGATTTTGTTTGCCTTCTTGGTTGTTAATGCTTTGTTAATTTGACTTTGACAGCCAGGTTGGAGAGTTGGCAAAACCTTTTTGATGGTTAAGATTGACATGTAGTTCAGATGATTAAAAATTAGAATCCTGTTGCGTAATTTGGATAATATCCATAGTTGAATTCATGTAACAGAATTGCGGCATTAACTCTCCTGGTAGGTAAGTTAAGATTTTTATTTTCACAGGGCATTTACAAAGCAAATAGTATATAAGGTTTGTGTCCTTTGGGGTTTTAAAAAGAATGTGGTGTCTCTTGACAAATGATGAATATAGCTTTTATTTATTTTATTTTTATTTATTTATTTATTTATAATATATTTTATTGATTTTTTACAGAGAGGAAGGGAGAGAGATAGAGAGTTAGAAACATCGATGAGAGAGAAACATCGATCAGCTGCCTCCTGCACATCTCCCACTGGGGATGTGCCCGCAACCCAGGTACATGCCCTTGACCAGAATCGAACCTGAGACCTTTCAGTCCTCAAGCCGACGCTCTATCCACTGAGCCAAACCGGTTTCGGCTGAATATAGCTTTTAATATGAGCTACAATAAGATAACAGCTGAATATTTCAGCTGATCTTGTGAAAGTGCAAATTACAAAACCTGATTTTTTTTACCCCCAGCTTGACAATATTTAAAAGGTTGATAACATATAGTAGTATCAAAGTTGCTGGAAAAGGGCACACACTAACACTGTTGGTTCTGTCTTTTGAGAAAGTAATTGGCAGAATTTTTTAAAAAGTAAGAATGTATACTCTCTTTGACATCACTCCCGCATATAGGCATCTATCCTATAGAAGTAAAAAAAACATAATAAATCTGTAGACAAACATGTGCCAGTATTTTAACTGTAACATTGTAATAGCAAGCTGTTGGTAAATACTCTAATTGTTCGTCAACAAGGAAATGGTTATATAATTTGTTTTACATTAATAGCGTGACATACTGTGCAGTCATTCAAAACAGTGTGGTCAAATTGTGTATATTGGCTTGGAAAAATGTTTATGATAATGTTAAAAAGCAAATTGCAGAACAACATGAGATTATCCCAGATTTGTAATAGGTTGTATTACAAAACTGGGGTATGTTATGCAAATGTATGTGTGAATAAGACTGTGTAAACATATTAATAAAACATGGA